CTTCAATGCCCAAAGCTTCAGGTCCAGAAAAGAGAACCAGGGCTTCTTAAAACTCATGCACAAGTCAGGATGGGATCAGTGGCTATTCATGATGAACTGCCCAAAAGACAATCATCTACCCTTGTGCTGAAGATCACATTAAGTTTATACAAAAACGAATCTGGAGAAAGTAACTGGAAAAGAACATAAAATTTAGGGCGGTGTAAAATGTTGTGCCAGGTCCTTTTAAATTTCTTTCTCTTCCCCAAAGGAAAGGTGTCTTTTTTCCCCTCCAGCTCTGGGGATTGAACCCAGAGCCTCATGCATTCTAGGCAAGTGCTCTACCACTGAGCTACACCCCAGCCCAAAACTATCCTTTTCTTAAGAATATCCAGAGAACAGATAGCTTAACACACCCACAGGGGAAAAAAATCATTTTATGGAAGGAAAAAATAGAATCAAAATGAACACTATCAATAAAAGGTTTGCAATAAACATAAAACAATTCTTTATGCTATTTTAAAGCACGATTCAATGTTCTTTGCTCTACTTAGAACACACATCAACCAAAAACAGACTTGAAGAGTTGAAGAATAGCAATTCCACCTATGATACTACACTAAGAAACTACCCCAAAAACTATAGCTTTTTAAGGATGCCTGGCACTCCAAAGTAGTGTCTATAAAAATCAAATCTGTAATTTTTCCAAAGAAATAAATTAAAGTTCAAAAACCTCATTTTTCTTTGCACATGGAAAACAGTGACAAAAATGTTACCTGTAACGTGTTATAGTCACCAAAATTTCAAAGAGTAACTCGTTGTTTAAATTTTACGAGAAAAGTGGAAATCAGAACATGAAATGCTTGATTTCTGATGGCAACTATAGTCTCGTTCCCTTCTGAACTAGTTTTTTAAAAATCTACTTTTAACACAAAACTGAAAACATAGTTCAGACTTGTTTCTTGGTCTTTCCATTTAACATTTTCTCACATCTTCAGATATTCACCTCAACAGTTTCAATGGCTAGTATCTATGTATTCTACTGTAATGCCATTTAACTGTGTTCTCATTTGAGAATTTTAAACTGTTTCTAATCTTTTGCTTTAATGCTGAGATGAATATTCTTATGCAAATGTATGCTTGCATCTTTGGTTATTAAGGATAATTTCTAAAGTAAATTTAAGTAATTCAAATATTAAGAACATTGTAGTAATACATGTTAACAAACTGCTTTTCATAAATATCATACTTCCAGCCAGGCATGGTGGCACATGCCTATGGTCCCAGCGGCTTAGGAGGTTGAGGCAAGAGGATCACAAGTTTGAGGCCTGCCTCAGCAACTTCCTGAGGCCCTAAGCAAGTCAATGAGATCCTGCCTCAAAAAATAAAAAGGGCTGGGGATATGGATCAGTGGTTAAGCATCCCTGGGTTCAATCCACAGTACAAAAAGAAAAAAAAATTATATTTCCATCACCATTTGAGAATGCCAAATCTTTGAATATTCAAAAATACTGGACATTTTCTTTCTTAAACTTGTCAACTTTACATATTAAAAATATCTCAAGTTGGGGTGGGGGTATGGGGGCAAGAAAGATGGTGGAATGAGATAGACATTACTACCCTAGGTACATGTATGACTGTACATATGATGTGACGCTACATGGTGTACAATCAGAGAAATGAAAAGTTGTGCTACAATTGTGTACAATGAATCAAAAATGCATTCTGCTGTCATATATGTCTAATTAAAATTAAAAAAAAAACCTTCACAGCTTTAATTCACCCTTTTATTAGTAAAACAATTTTGTTCAACATTGGTTTGGGATAGGAGGATTAAACCCAGGACCTTATGCATGCTAAGCAAATGCTCAACCACTCACCTACCACCCTGGGCCCTTGAATTGTTTCCATGTTTATTATTTATAATTCTGCTTTTTCAAATTGTCTGTTTTGGGCTTGGGAGGCTTCATGAGTTCAAAGTCAGCCTCAGCAAAAGCGAGGCACTAAGCAACTCAGTGAGACCCTCCCTATAGCTAAATAAAGTACAAAATAGGGCTGGGGATGTGACTTAGTGGTCAAGTGCCCTTGAGTGCAATCCCCAGCACCTCCGCTCCCCCCGCACTCCGAAAAAAATCATCTGTTCTGACTTTCATCCATTTTTCTATTATAACAGTTTTTCATATTAAGTTATAGCTCAATATAAAAGCATGTAATCCTTGACATCCAGAAAATTTAAATTTTTAATGTTGTCCAACCCATCAACCTTTCCCTTTGTAATTTTCCTACTACTTTCATGCTTAGGAAATCCTTTCCCATTTCAGTATCATTTACTAGTATTTGTTTTTAAAGTTCTTTTGTTTTACTTTGACATCTCAATTTTTAAAACACCTGGAATTTATTTGCGGTATGGTATGAGGATGATGATTTAATATCTGGTGGAATGAGAGCCCATTAATCATTATTTACAAAATTTTCCTGCCTATTCTTCCAGATTAACTTCTGAAATCACTTTTCCAGGGTTCCCATTCCCCACCCAAATCTCATTTAGTTTCTTACTAAAATTACATTAAAGAATAAACATCGATAGGGAAGAATATCAAAAACTGATGCTATCTTGGAGTTAATTCTTGTAAGAATACTTCCAGTATTATATTTGTTAAGCAATATTTTGGCTTTTTACTTTAGACAGGAAAAATTTTTTAGTGTATTAAAGAAATCACTTTCTATATTCAATACTAAACCTTGACCTGAATATATATTTTGTATTTTGCTGAATTCCTTTTAAACATCATTTTAGCACATCTTTGCACTATTACACTTTATCCTACATTCTCAACATAAAGCGGTTTCTTAATAAATAGGACACAAACCTTTAACTGCTGGCCTCCATCCTACTCTTCCCACTGCTTTATTCTGAATATGATGATGGCTTTGAGTTGTTTGTGCTTCAGTGAACATTTTTACATTTGTAGTCTGGAGTCTTTTTGAAGAGAATTTTCTGTATAACTCTTAACATTTCAATGGCTACTATGAATTTTAGATGTTCAATTTCTTTATTTATATTTTCCCTGAATATTATTCATTTGGAGGTCTCTGAATTCGAGTTTTCTTATTTGAAATCTCATCTGCAATTACTGTTTACATGCCTTTTTCCCCCTCAATTTGGTATAATTTGGTTTTTATTCTCCTTTTGGTTAGACATTTTAAATATCTATCTCTATTCTTCCCGTCTTCCTTGTGCCCATCAAGAACAAACTGATTTACTGTATCTCCTTTTTATTCCTGTGGTCTAATTTATTTTCACTTACATGTTAGTGAATCTTGAGGCATTCTGTGTCCTATTGTGATATTAACTCCACTATACAAAGTATTTATTTTCGTTAATACTGTAGACTTATTTGGGGCAGGCAGCTATGAAACATATACCTTCTAAACACTAATAAACTAGAGCATTCTAATCTTACCATATTCTACCGTGGGCTTCAAAATCTATTTTTTATTTATTTTTGGTGTTGAGGATTAAACCCAGGGTCTCACACATGCTAAGCATGTACTCTACCACTGAGCTACACCCTCAGCCCCCAGAATCTATTTTTAAAATTTTGTTAATGTTGCAGAAGACAGCCTACTAACTAGATCCGGTCTTGGAAATAAGAAACAATTTTAACTGTGTTTTTCTAGAAGACACTGCTGCAGTATTTTACATTATTTTCTTTTATATATATTCTTAGCATTACAGGAGCCAAATGTTTAAAAAACAAATGTTGGGGAAATAGACAAATTTAATACATTGAAAATTAAAATTTTTCAAACAATGTATGTAATAAATGAATATATGTATGTAATATTTAACTTTATGGAAATCGTCGAGCCATGTTTCTTTTTAGAAAAGAGAATCAGTTTGTGGCAAAATGCAATATTTGTGTAACTATTACTCATGCCTCCTCCCAATGTGCCCAAGTTTTTTTTTTTGTTTTTTTGTTTTTTTTTTGAGAGAGAGAGAGAGAGAGAGAGAGAGAGAGAGAGTTTGTAATATTTATTTTTTAGTTTTCGGCAGACACAACATCTTTGTTTGTATGTGGTGCTGAGGATCGAACCCGGGCTGCGCGCATGCCAGGCGAGCGCGCTACCGCTTGAGCCACATCCCCAGCCCCTGTGCCCAAGTTTTTGAAGTTCCTCAGATTCCCTGATACACTGTTACCACAATTTGACTTGCATTTTCCTGGGCAATTGGTATTCATGTTTCAGATAAGCTAACTGCCTCCACTGTTCCCTACCAAACTTACATGAACATTCCCATGAAAAGTACTTTCTTGTTAATGCATTCTCATATATATATATATATATATATATATATATATATATATATATATATATATATATATATATATATATGAAGAAGAAGCTTTTCAGGGGCTGGGGTTGTAGCTCAGTGCTAGAGCACTTGCCTAGCACATGCGAGGCTCTGGGTTCAACTCTCAGCATTGCATGTGAACAAATAAATAAAAATAAAAATCCATTGACAACTAAAAAATATGTATTTTTTTTTAAAGCTTTTGGTCTTGGGTTGTGGCTCAGTGGCAGAGTGCTTGCTTTGCACATGTGAGGCACTAGGTTCAATCCTCAGCACAACATAAAAATGAATAAAAAAAGATGTTGTGTCCATGTATAATTAAAAAAATATTTTTTTAAAAAAAGAGGCTTTTCTCAACATGCTACCTTTAGTTCTGACTTCTGTGATACCCAAGCCAACAGACTTTACTAACCAACAGTTGTTATTCATAAGATCCCTCCCTCAATGTACACCTTTCCCTCAGCAGTCTACATTTTCCCTTCCACTAGCCAGAGCAGCATATACACATTTGAGATACCCAGAGAACTGCAAGCCACACGTGCATGTGGATGCAAATACACACATAAGAGCATGGCCACTAGAATTATTTTTGTTGTTGAATATAAAACTGACACCACACAGGGAGTTTAAAAGAAAGGTGGAGAGGTGGAGGCAGGAAGCATCTCACCTGCTTTCCATCCAAGGTGCAGAGCCTCTTGACCACTCCCGAGTCTAGCTTAATGGCTTCGGTGATATCAGTCAAGACCTGTTCAAAGGAATGAGCAGTCTTTTTATTCAGAAGGATCCGCACGGCTTTTCTAGGCTTCACTCCGCTTCGAATCACAGTCACTAACTTGGGTTTGATGAAATCTTTACTTTCTTTGACTTCACTCTTCACAGAGGTGGTGGCGGCCAAGGTTCGGGGCATCCCACCCTTGATGTTCACAGACCAGTTCGGATTAATATTTTTGGTGTAATCGACTTTACGGAATGGTTCGTTGGATGCACACACGTAGCTCTCACCTAAAAAAGCAAAAATTAATTTCATTAGCATTGATTATCCCCATCACAGGCACATTTGGGGGGAGTGGAGGAGTTGTGAAGAACAGCTGCTTGTAACCCACGAACTGAACTCCTGAGCTTAGATTCACCACGAGAGCAAGTGCTGCGCCCTTTTCCTTGGGTCCTCTCCCACCTCCTTTCTTTTAAAGGGTATCTAGATCAGCTTCAAAGAATAAGGTGGATTGTAGGGTAAAAAGAACCAGTCCAAGAAATTAAAGCAAGCTCTATTATTTTGACCAAATTGTGTCACTTTGGATCATTCATTTCTGCACACTTTGACTCTCAGTGTCATTAGCCACAAAGGTGAAACAGCTGACTTGGCCGAATTCTAAAGCCCTTCCTCATTTTCAGAGCCTAACAAGCTTAACTGCATTCTGTTATTTTATTATCTTTAATAAATAAAAACTATTTTCTTTCTTCCAATTATAGATTTCAGTCCAAATGAAAATCACTATGTCTGCCCAAAGCTGACTAAATTATACCCTCACAGGATCGTTTATTCAACTAGTGAAGTACCGCGAAACTGAAAAGAAGAGTTTTGGCAGCTCAAAGAAACATCTCAGATATATGTTTTTAGGAATATACATTTAAAATAACTTGTAAGTTTAAATAGACAAGCTTTTCCACACCTACTTAAATAGAAGAGGATATTAAATAGTCAAAATGACGTGTTCTTTATTCATGAACACTTCTTCATTTTTATTAAGTATAACATAAATGTTATTCTATTTGTCAATTGGTTTGTCAGTGTTTATTAATTCTTGAATTTTCAAAATATCCAAAATTATATGTCAAGATGCCATAATTTTTTTTGGGGGGGGGGAACTCAGAAGTCACTCAGTTTTTTGAGTCTTTTGGCTTTTTCAAACACAAGAAGATTAAATATAAGATTTTCTCCAAGAGGGCTGGGGGTGTGGCTCAGATGGAGAGCACTTGCCAAGCATGTGTGAGGCATTGGGTTCAATTCTCAGCACTGCGAATAAATAAATAAGTGAATGAATAAAATAAAGGTCCATCAACAACTAAAAAGAAAATTATTTTGTATATATACGATTTTCTAAGATATAATTTTAAAACAATTCATTATTTTTTTTACATATTCAGTATTAGACTCACTCTTAATTTTATATGAGCCTTAAAGTTATAAATGCTTAAAACAGAAACCAAAATCATGAAAGAATTCCTGAGGAAACCCTATTAATATTAGTATCATATTTAAGTATTATCATAATGTTCTTAAAATCCTAATTAATGGAGAACTTTAGAATCTCCCAAAGGCACATGAATAATTCAGTAACAGATCAGTCATATAAGGAGGATTTAAAAAGGATTTAAAAAGAAAAGCAATGTCTTTTATTTAAAGGTATAATTATAACACTGCCCAAGATAACTAGGGAACCAATCATAGGCTTTAACATTTCTATACCACTAATCTGAAATCTAGTCCAACCTCCACCATTTAAAGATTTTTCACCTCTGTAGAGTCATTTAAATTATTTTTCACAGTATGATCATCTGAGAAAATGGCATATAATTTAAAAAATAGGTATCACTTAATAAAACTATCACATGGATGCATTAATGAGAAAAAACTGTCACATCAAAAAGCTCTTACCAGACCTGGTGATGTAGCTCAGTGACACAGTGCTTGCCTAGCATGTGCAGGGGACCCTGGGCTCAGTCCCCAGTACTGGGGTAGGGGGAACTCTTACTATTTTATGTATGATAAAAAATTTCATTGTATATTCTGATCCAAAATATAAGATGGAAGAGTAAAAGGAATCCTAGCAATTTCTCTTTTTAAGAGCAGGGAGAAGTCGGTGAGCTCCAGGAAAACGTTTTCCAACATTCAAAGAGAAAAGAACAATGGTAAAATGAAACAAAACAAGAACAAATTCAATACGTCACATTTCCTTGATCAATCAGTCCCTGCACAGTTGACCTATCAATCTGGAGAGTCGATTTTTAAATGTATCTGAACGCAGTTTCCTTACATGGGTTCAGAATGAACATAGGTAAAGGAAAAGCTGTCACAGGTGCAGTTACAGGTAAATGCTAACCCCTTCCTCTCTTCCCTCGTCCTTCATGGTACTTCTGTTGCAGGGAGAGAGAAGTGCTGAGGGCTGAACTCAAGCAAATTATATCCCATGCCTTTGTGATTATGTCAAAATATACATATCCTGATGTTGTGTATAAAAAGAATCAATTAAAAAACCTCGTAGGCTGGCTCTATAATACATTGTGAAATGAGGTGGCAAATGCCTAAAAAATAAGCCCTCACCACCTCCTGAATCCGTAGCAGACACAAACCATAGTGCTTCTGGTAAGCCTAGACTCCTCAGTATGCACAGAGTACCTACTATGCACCAGCTCTCACACCTCTCAGGCTCAATCTTGTGCTTTTGTCAAATGGCACCTACGTTCCTAAGGAGCAGATGACAACAGCCACCAAGAGAATAAGCCAGCTTCCCTTATGTCCCCACCTGTTTAATCAATCTTCTGATCATAATGTTGTCAATTACACGTATTTGCCCACAGGGAGAGAATATGCTGACAAAATAAGTTAAGATGTTAATAAATAATAAGTGAATGTGAATGAAATAAATGAACATTGTCTGTTAGATACCAGGCACCCATAAAACGGATCATAGGTAATCAGTCCACCCTCCACCCAGACTCCCGGCACTGAAGGACTCTGCCTGAGGATTAGTTCCTCCCCTGCCAACTGCGGTCTCCCGTTCCTCCCAGCCTGCTGAGGAGCTTCACTCCTACTCAGCAGACACCCAGCTGTCATCCTCCCCTCTCTGGCTTCCCTCCTTGCGTACTATGTTCTGACATCACATTCTGTCCACTCTACCTCCTAAATAGACCTCAAAATGTTCTTCCTCTCTTACCGCTGCCCACCACTCACATCCTACCTGGATCCAAGCAAGAGTCTTCTGTTTTCTACTCATTCCCCAGAAGTGTGAAGTTTTCCAAATGGCGGTAAAGCCTATGCTACTTACTCAGCTGAAAAAGCACATCCTAAAGTGACGAGTCTTGACAGACTGATAAAATGTTATATATTAGTCAATTTTTCACTGCTATAACAAAATACTTGAGGCAAGGTACTTTATGAAGAAAAGATTTATTTAGCTCCTAGTTCTGAAGGTCCAAGAAGATGGCATCAGTTCTGCTCAGCTCTGATGGGGCCTCATGAAGAGAACATCACAATGGTGGGAGTACACGTAGAAGAGATCACATGGCAAGAAAGGAAACCAGAGACCTAAAAGAGTCAGTCTTGTTCTTTTACAAGAACTCACTCTCTAAGGACCTACTCTACAAATCCAGCACTAATCCCTTAGGTGGTGCCCCCAGCGACCTAAACACCTTCCCTTAGGCCCTACCTCTTCAAGGCTCCTCCACCTTTTAATATTGCCACAGTGTAGACCAAGCATCTAACTTGTGAACCTCTGGGGGACACGCTCAAACTCTACAAGAGAGTTTTAATCTTTGCCAATACATGTTACAACTGCACTCTCCAAAACATGAATAAAAATATAGAGGTAGAAGGGTATTATAAATTTTATAATATATATAAAATATATACATATATTTTATATACATACATTGTGTGTGTGTGAGAGAGCGAGAGAGAGAGAGAGAGAGAGAGAGAGAGGAAGCTGCTCCTGACTTCAGGAACTGACCTGACTTTCACAGCTGCACATCACTGTTACTAGAAACTGGTCCGACACAGGCCATTTTGTTCTGTTGGGCCTAATCTCACAGAAGATCTGCATTCAAATGAAGTCACTCTGAGACAAAGACAAAGCAACGCAAAAACAAGGTCCCCCTGCAACCCACAGGACCAGACATCCCTCTTCACACTGAGTGATGGCCTCTTCTTGGTCAATCTAGTCTGCCTACACTACAAACAGACATTCCACCACACAGTCACCTTGCTCCTCACCCTGCTTTCTCAGACCAGTCCTAAAATTACCAAACCCAGGCCTAAATCCTACAACAGGGTTAGGGTTCTAATGCCCTTTTCCCATGGTGTCCTATAACATACAGATTTCTCACTGCAAACAGTGATAAGCCCAACTTGTTAGACCACAGGTATGCTCCTGGTAGTCTTTGGCTAAAGAGAATTAAGATACGTATATACATTTTCTCATTGTCCTCCTCCTTTTTTGATAAGACTGGGGAGAAATTATTTTACAAATTTTGATCATGAGAATACTACATACAGAGGGGTTTCTTTCCGTACTGAGAGAGGATGAGTAGAAGTGTAAAATACCTATATGACCTAATTATTTTCAAGTATGGTATAGAATAAAGTCTTTCTTCAATTTCCTTTAAGACTTCCTCCAGTGACTGGTGCCATGGTGCATGCTTAGAATTCCAGCAACTTGGGAGGCTGAGGCAGGAGGATCACAAGTTTGAGGCCAGCCTCAGCAACTTAGTAAGGCCCTGTCTCAAAAATAAAAAATGAAAAGGGCTGGGGATGTAGCTCAGTAGTACATCAGCCCTGAGTTCAATCTCTAGCACCATTAAAGAGAAAAGGGGAAAAGAAAGATTCTCTCCAGTGGTACGGCTATGGCTTCTTCCCATTGACATCTGTTCAAAGACACTCTGCATTACTTCATATTCAGCACATTGACAAACTGTCTAAAATTATGTAATACAATCTGAATATCTGTGTAGGAGGCTATTAACTTTCATCCTTCTTCAACCAAATGAACTTCCTATTGGAGAGGCAAGAGGCTAATAAAAGCTACAATTTCTCCAATTTCTTGCTCTCTGTGAACCCTCCCCCTTACCATTTCCTCCTGTGCCAACTCCTCCCACCTCCTCCCCCTCCTCAGTGATGGCAAAGCTCTTCTCCTTTTTAAAGCTAAGGAAGGTCCTTCCCTCCCCTCATACTGAGACTTCAGAGCCATTGCTCTTCTCTGTTCCCTAACTGGACAGACTCTCTACCA